CTTGCCAATAATCATCCCAAAGGGTTACCGAAAAGGTTTGAAGTTTGAAGCTGTAGCGGTAGCGAAGAACCATAGGCTCAAGCTTTGGTTGACAAAGCCATCTCCATCTCACAGTCAGGCATGAAATCCGTTTCCGTATGTTCGTGGCCGAGACGGGTCTTTAGTAAAGGAGCCCAAGGCAAGGGAGACATAGCAAACCTCCTCCGGCTGCCGTGACACCCTTAGTAGTAAAGTAGGTGACCTTCAACATTTTTGGGCAGTAGAATTCCGAAAAACATCCCAAAGGTCAACTTTTAGTTTCCATAAGATACTGGACAAGAGAGGGAGTTCGAGCTCGCAGAACACACACACACACACACATCTGGCTTCGACATTTTTGCGTAGTAGGGCCCCTGCTAAAACGAATTGTTAGGCTTCAGACCGCAATAGCTGCTGAACAGGTATAAATGCGCAGGAACACGCCGAGGTGCTGCAAGACCCCAGCACGCTGCCTAAGCAACCCAACGACTTGTAAGCACCAGAAAGCAAACCCGAACCTTGGAGTGACAACCCGAGAACCCAAAACCTAAGCTCTCCAGATCCCTGCACCTCGATGCTTAAGCCAAATGCGAAGAATCTGAAATCCATCGGACCTTCTCAAAGGCAAAGCGAAAGTCTTGTCCCTGCACTTCTTGCATCTTACAGTGGAGGTTGACTAACAGCAACTATGATTACGTAGGGACGGCTGCCTATAGCAAAGTCCGCAAAAACCAAAGCCACGAGAGAGCCAGGAAGCAGCAAAAGTGGACCCGGTGTCGCTCCAGCTCTTGACCACAGCTGCTGAGGCGAGAGTTGACGGGGCGTAGAGGGCCTATGCAGGCTCAGACTACATCATTAGCCGCCCATCGGCTGGAGCACACTTCGTAATAAACTGCTTACTGACTGGGCAGCTTCGGCCTAGGAATTGCCACTGCCGTGTGGCAATTGTGAGTATCCCAAGCCTGCCCAGCATGAAATGCCTGGGCTTAACGCTGAGAGACCGCCTCGGTTCAAAACAACTTCCTCTAGGGTTCAATGGAAATTGAGGCTTGTGAGGAGTAGGGGGTGGGGTTATTGGCGCAAACTCCACCTTAACACCAAATGACTTACCTCTGTATGTTTATGATTGTTTATGATTTCCTTATATGTACTACCAGTAGTTTTAAAGACAGGTTCTTGCGTTTCCAGGCAGTGATGTTCAGCCCACCTAGAGCCAGCGTACAAAGAAACACCTACACTTGGGACCCAAATACGAACCTTCTGCGGGCAAAGACTTAGCCACGCGGGAGCAAAACTTCAGCCTCATTAAGCCTGAACCAGAAGCCCCTAAGCCGAGATTTCAAGAGTTTTATAGTGAACCCCTGAAAGTTAGAACATGGATGTAGAATGATTCGTGCTGGGGTTCCCTCTGCTTTACCTTAAGGGCATGAGGATAATGGTGTTCCAACTTTCTGGCTTCTACTGTACCCCATCACTTACACTTGGTTTCGTTGTTTCCCTCCACTTCAATTCATCCGAAGGCTGCAGCGAAATGTCGACAAAAAGTATGCCTCACAAACACGGAGCGGGCAACATAACTGCGATGGGAACTGCAGGTGGGGCGGACTCATAGCCGGAGTTGTTTTCAAACACAGGCAGTCAGTCCTTGAGATCGACTATGTAGGAATCAATACCAAATAAACAAACGTTGAAAGTGTTACTTGAGGAATTGCGAAGTCGACCCAAACATTCAAATCTGAATGAATCCTTCAACCCTAAAGCCTGAACCACGTCCTTGCTAGGTAGGAGACAAAAAAACCTGAACCCAAAGACCCTGGATCCACCTTCTCTTCGCAGGCAGTGAAGACCGAAGGCATCACTGTGAAGTATACCGAGGCCACGTTTATGTTTGTTTTGTTTGGGGGGGTTCCGAACATAGGGGGGCCCGAATATAGTACCCAAAATAGTAGGATCCTTGCAGCAAGACTGGGCATGTAGGATCCTTGTTGTAAGAACCCCAAAAAAGGTATCTCGGAAACTCCCAGATCAGAGTCCCAAACTCAAGATCCGTTTTGCAGAATCTTGTGACTTCACGCCTCCGAGTTTGATGAAAAAGCGTGACTTCGCAAGTATGTTCGGACCTCTAACTGTCAGCAGTGGGGCGGCTTTTCGAAGGGAGCTCAAGGTTTGCTTGTCGACTAGCCGAGTTCAGCTCATTCAGACTTTTTTCAGTTATGAGATTTTCCGTTCCGAGAGTTCGAAGCTTCCATGCTATGGGGTATTGGGCAAGTACATACAAAATCGGACGTGTTTCCCTTCGGCATGTGTTGCAGCTCGAGGTTGTTGTGGGTGGCGGTCAGCATATCCGTTGATTCCAGGCATAAACAGAGCGGACATCGGAGCATCATTTCTCGCGGCAAGTAAGTAAGCCCTGTAGTAAGCGTTTTCTGCACAGAAAGAGGTTGAGACCAACCATAAAACCTGCAAGACTTGGTTAGATGGGTACCGAGTATGATTATTTGTCCAAAATGATGGCTATAGTTTATCGGATTTGGATTAGCACAAAACGCACCCAAACTCAAGTAACCTACTTTGGATTTTACCCATTGGGACAACCAGCTGGGCCCAAGCCAACAACCCTATGATTAAGGCGTGTGCCGTAAGCCATCCCAGCATGTGATATGCCCCTCAATTGCAACCTTCTGAGTTCCCTAAGTTTGTACAACACTATGGGACACCTATCAGACACAATGCAGCTTGGCAGCCCCGACCTACTGGCCAGGAGCCGCGGGTGTCGGTTGCCTTCGTGGCTGCAGCAGACACATCCACAGAGGCCTGGAGGGTTTCTGGAGTCAGGTTTATCAAAGGGGAAAAGGAGGGACCCTTAATGGGGACCCCTACCTTATAATGGGCTATGTAATGGGTATATAATAGCTATATTAAGGGTCTATACCCAGGGATCCTTATTAAGGGTCCCTCCTTTGACCCTTGGAGTTTAGTCTAGGTCATACCCTCTTAGTAGTCCTCAAAACTCTTGTTGACGAGTCCCCTGTACTCGCTATGGTTCCAAGCCAGTTCACCAGAGGCTAGTTTCATCGGAAGACATTGAAGGAGATCAACATAAACAAAAATGTCAGGCTGAGTCGGAACGGATGCTTGTGGTATACAATAGTAGAATCATTGTTATGACTCGGCTAAAAGGATGAACAAGAGAAAATTTAAGCATGGCTTGTGCTGCATTGAAGGCCAAGGCATAAGGACCTAAACCTAGGTCTCAAATGAGTAACCGTTACCTCCTCGAGAGTAACAGGATACCTAAACCAACCCACAGGCTAACTTCAAGTTCCCTATGCAAGTTTCAATGCCACTGGACAGCTCAGTGAAGACTACATAAGACATGTGATAAATCGTAACTTGACGTGCCCGATAGTCACAAGCAGGAACAGAGATAGTCAAGAAAAGCATTCGCTCTTCCAGGAGCCGGGAGGAAACAATGTGGTGCTGAATGTGACTCTGCTCCAATCCGCACGTCGTGGGAGGGGGCTCGACGTTTTACGGCGTTGTGCAAAGCGGTTTGTGGTGCTTCGGGGTTTCATGAGCTGAACCTGGAGCAGCAGCAACCCTGGTTCAGAGACCCTGCACCACCACACACGAGTTCACATGAAACGGGCTGTAACTGTAGGTGCCGACCGCCAGCCCCACCTGCAGCCTAGCTGTCAATCTGAAGCGTGAGCACAAGGCATCCTCAGCTAAAGAACACTAATAATCATACTCGGTAGTGATGTGTTAATAATGGTGGTGATGTTGCTACTGGGTGCAACGAAAGTCAGTATATTGATAGTAATGTGCGCCTGTAGTGAAGTGGTGCTGACAGAAACAATAATGAAGACTTTGGTAGTTTGTGCTTAGAAGTTTTGCTAGGACTAGCAAGAATGATCGTAACATACCGACCATCATTGAAACACATGTAGTAGGGGTTGCTACAGGTTACTCGAGCAGTCGGCATGAATACCTGTATAGCATTCTGCAGGTTCCCGACTGCAGCAATGCTATCGAAGAAGCCCTCCAAATAGTTTGGTCTTCGATTTTTTTTAGATGGCTGGTCACAGCAGCAACAAGCTTGTGACGACCCGTGGGCCTTCAAGTAGACCCGAGAAGTTCCCAGAATCCGAGTGAGGCGCTTGCTGCGATTTTCGGTGTTCTTGCAGCAGCATGCTGCGCAGGAGCGGCTGCTTGGCAGACGGGTTGCGCAGTATGGGATTCCATTCCAGTGTGCACTGGGGCAAGATCCCTGGTTCTGGACTGCCTTATGATAACAGAATATAACCTAAATAAATAAATAAGTAAATATGTACATATGGGTGGTGGTCAAAATTAGGGTTCCTTTTTGTGTACCGTACATATTAAGGGTCGTATTATAATGGGGACCCAAAAAGGGACCCTAATTTTGATAACCACCCATATATATACATACATCTCCTGTTTTCTCCTGTTTGGGGCGTTGAGTCGGTGCGACGCGGCCCTTTGGGCATGCATCTAATTATAGAATCCTCGCGCAGAAATCTGGACACATACCAGTATGCGCTAAGGCTGGGAAGCACATGTGCGAGGATTTAACTGGCGCCTAAGGCAGAAAAGCCATCCCCGAGCACATGCAAAATCAACACTAGAACAGAGCCAACATCAGAGTTAAAGCGGCACTCCTGCGGACCTTCAGGCATTGCCAAAGAATGCCATCACGACACTGGGCCCAGGCACATGCAAGCACCAAAGGGCAAAACTAGAACTTCAGCCTGAGCCTATTCCTCAAGGGGGAGGGTGAGGCAAACTGCAAGCTGTACACCCCACACAGCTGACATTCAAACGCAGCTGTGCCCTTCCAACACTACCATGTGCAGTGACTGCGTATACACATGGAGTTCTTGCACTAAAGACAAAACTTACACTACACAACACGGCAATTCACCTTCTGTTAGGGTGATCGTTCCATGTTGTTGACCAACCTAGTAGGCCGGCATCTGCTCAGCAACGAAGCACTCAGAACTCATAGCCGTAACCTTGTTCCTCTCACTCGCCCTCAGTTGTTCGATGCCAACCTCGTCGTAGTCCTTCTCCACGGCTGCCATGTCACCGCAAGCAACGGCGACGGCGGTGCTGCGCCGCAGCATGCACGTATGACCTTGGCTAAAACACCATGGGGCACCACGGTGAGCGGCTGGTAGTTAATGCCGCATTTGAAGCCGGTGGTGCACCAGTCCACAAATGGGCTGGTACATTGCGTGTTGATGGTAGCCGCTGCCGCATTCACATCCTTCGGAACGACGCCGCCACGGTACGTCCTGCAGCAGGCCATGTGCTTGCACTGGCGTACATCGCACTTGACCATCATGGGTGCCGGCTCGAAAACGGACATGGTGATGTCCGCCACCGACAGCTGCTCACCGTAGTCCTTCTCTGCCGAGATGACCAGGGTAGAGGACGTCAAGATGATGTGGATGTGTGTGTACGGGACCAGGTTGGACTGGGACTCTGTGCTATCCACGTTCAAGGCTCCACCGAAGCGCAGCGATGCCGACAAACTTGAGATAAACTGAGCGATAAGGCGGTTCACATTGGTGTCCGCTGGTCGCTCGATGTCCAAGTGCCTGCGGCAGGTACTGTACAGGGCCTCGTTGCCGTACATGATGGTAGCATCCGTATGCTCAAGGGGTGAGCGGGCGCAGTTGTAAGGCTCCACCACGGCAGTTGCAACTAAAAAGCAGCACCAAACCGTTAAGGAGATTCTGCGCTTCTGGCCATTATCCACGGACAGCCTCTCGAGCATGAGGCAACTGAGGCCTGATCCTGTCCCACCGCCACATGCGCTGTAGAAACAGGATCCTTGGAGTCCTGTGCAGTTGTCAGCAAGCTTCCTGATGCGGTCCAAAACCAAATCCACACTCTTTTTGCCAATGGTGTGGTGCCCGCGAGCGAAACTTGTTGAATCTTCCTTTCCGGAAATGAGCTGTTCCCGGTGGAGAAGCTGACGGTACGTGCCTGTGCGAACCTCATCCACGACGATAGGTGCCATATCCACCATCACACAGCGTGGCACGTGCTTGCCGGCCCCGGTCTCATGGTGTGGCTCATGGCGTACCCCCTTACGGGGTACTGGGGCTCCAGCTATCAGACTCGCTGTTGAGTCATTCGATCCGGAGCCCTATATACATACATACATACATACATATATGTGTATATATATATATACACATATTTGTATATGGGTTCCGCATGTGGTTTCATGTTTTGGGGCTGGGGCTCTCAGGCTCCAGCGTAGTTTCGGGTTGCGGGGGTTTGAGGCGTCATGCCCCACAAAAGTGGCAGCTGACTTGGTAGCCGGGTCGCTAACCTTGAGCTTGAGCTTTTTCAAGTACTTGTATCATTTATGGCTCTACCATGTGCAGAGTAACTGCAACTAGGATGACATGCACCGCCAAGGTTATCTGGCAGATCCGCCGGAACAAGCAGATGGTGGATCCGGCACGCCCCCTAGACTGGAGCCCACCCCGCGAGATGCGAATTCTGGACCTTGGTCTGCCCTGCTTTCTCAACTCCTACGTAAACTTCGATGATGGCTCCCAGAGCCAGAAAGAACAGTCCAAACGGCTTTAGTCAAGCTCGGCCCAGGCGACAATCCTTCCAGCCTCAGACTGCTCTTAGGGTGTAGGTTCTGGGTTTACGGCAGAAAGGGCTTACGGTAAACTCGAAAAGGTTTCAGGCAGCAGACTTCTTCGGGGCAGGCGGATGTTGACACGGGTCAATGCAGACCCTTCCCAACTCAGAAGACTTCGAAGTACACTGTAGGGTTTATCACAGGCTTTCCTGGGATCTTGTAGGGTCTCATAGGGTGTATGGGGTTCTTAAAATAAAACAACCCTACACCCAGAAGGCTGCCCATGCTATTGTCGCGCGTAAATCATATGATTACTCCTCATCTCAGAGTTTGAACTACCCATAGGCCCCATAGTAGCCTTTTTGGGGTTACCTTTTGGGATTCTATACATGAACCACAGAGGCCTGAATTCATCGCGAAACTGATGTTGCACGAGTCCAAAGTCGTACGGTTGATGATATAATTCCTGCATTACCTTAAGGACCCTAAACGATGGGATTTGTGGTATAGTCCTTATTATGGGTACTGCAGGATTTATATCATCAACAGTAGCTGTACCGGGAGGTCGGGCGACTTTTAAGACTCCAAGGTCACGCCGATGGCGGAAGAGCCAGCATCCCAGCACTCTGCGAGGGAGCTTAAGGCTCCTTTTCAAGTCCAGTCCAATCTTACGCACATAAACCCAACCACAAGACCTGGATGTAATAAAGGGCCTTTGTTTCTGTATTGCGGGAGGTATTTCATTACGATCTGCGCTGGCGCAAACGCAGAATTTAAAATCGTAGTACAGCATTGTTCGAACTTGTGCGAGACTTGGGTTGCTCAACATGGCGCAAGATTCATCTGCAGCTCTCATTTTCCACCGAAGCTTGGGTGCATCGGCTTCACCCAACAGCTTCAAACCCCAAACCCTCCAAACTTCTAAGCCGTTAAACCCTGGGCCCGCAAACTCAAGCCTTAAATTAAACCTAAAAGGACCTCAACACAAAGCCCTCGAACGGCAACCAGATAAGCCCTTCAACTTTTAAACCCCTAGGACCGTACACCTTAGCACGAGCAACACAATCTCAGACCCTAAACTTCTTCTTCTTTGCAATGCAGGCTTGTCCTAGCTAGGCCAGAGCCAAAAGTCTTCTTTGGCCACTCTTCAGACGGCGCTAGGTATAATAGAGGAACCGCATCGTAGCCTTATCTTAACCCCTCTAAAGGAAGCCTTGTAAAATGCCGAGGCCAACTTATAGCCGGGACCGCCCCTGGCACGTTTTGCTGCTCTGGGTCGAAGTGCTGGGAAGTTTTGGCTCTAATTTATCGCTTAGGCTCTGAATCGGGTTCATTCATGGTTTCCGGCGAGAAGGTCCCGTTGAGTTTTTGGCTACGTGTTTGGGGGAGAATGAACAAGACTCAGCCGCGTATGGGTTGAAGTTCAATGTCAGCTTCCACTTGGAGGCCCTTTTGACTTAGTAAGTAGGGTTAGTAAGGTAAGTTATGGGGATTATAATAGGGTTTCTAGGGGATACTATAAGTAGACTTACTAAGTCAAAAGGGCCTCCAAGTAGGGACCGTGATTGCAAATCCGAGTGTTCAATTGCCAACTCTGCTTTCACGGGCGTCCAGGTGGAACTACGGTCAACTATAAGCTCTAAACCCACAGCCCGAAAGAAACATCTTGATCACCCGCCATATGAAGCCTCCAGCATTCTTGTTAAGGCTACAAAGCCTCAATTTAAGTTACCGTCATAAGGAAACCCTTTAATTCACTATAGCTGCCGATTATAGTCAACAAGACCCCAAAACAACTCCGTGAATTGCCGACCTGCTCAAGCTGACTGCTCGAACATTTTGACAGGGATTAGGGGCCGAATGTGCAGAGTTAAGCGTAGATCCTAAGCCCCACGCTTAGCCTGTGTGTTGATTTTTGTCGGCTGGTCTAGCTAGAGCCTCAACCCTTAACCTCATAGATCCCCATAGACGCTTATGGATCCCTTTAAAGGAACCCCTAGACCCACAGCACCGGCAGCTCCATGAATTTTGGTTTGCCGAAGTACCGTCGAGTGCCTCCGAAAAGCCCCGGTCTTGGCTTGCGGAGATCATAGGTCCGATCGGGGGACCCGCTAAGGATGCTACTGTTGATGATATAAATCCTGCATTACCCATAGTAAGGAATATACCACAATTCCCATAGTCTAGAGTCTTTAAGGTAATGCAGGATTTCTATCATCAACCGTAGGGTGCCTTTAAGGGTAGGCCAGGGGGTCCTTAAGGGCACTAGGGAGCCGGGCTCCTCGAAGGGTTCTAGAGGGGTTACTATCAGGGCTCTGTGATGCTGAGGCTGTTTATCTTAGCGCTGGTTAGTAGGGAATGGAGGAATGGGCCGTTGTCACAACTATTACTACCATTCTTCCATTCCCTACTAACCAAAGGTAAGTTATGAGGGGTATGCAGAGTTGTTTGTACTAGGGGTCTTGATATGGCCTTTCAGCAAGGATCTGCTGCTACAAGGTTCTGTTCGTAATAGGCCAGCAATGGAGCAATCCCAAAGAAGGAGTTGAGGTTCAGTGTTTACTATTCCCGAACCCCTACACCGCAAGGCCCTAGACCACGACAGGACGGACTTAATTTCCAAGCCTCTCAGTCGATGGCATATCCAGGCATGCTCGACATGTCTTTTTGTAGCCTTACAAAGGAGTGAGTTTCCGAAAATAGGGGACCCTGGTATAGTACCCTAAATAGTAGGATCCTTATTATAAGGACCCCAAAGTAGGGTACCCCTATTTTTCGGAAACACCCACAAGCCTCAAGACAACTGGGGTTCAAATAAGTTTAGGTCGGCAGGAGAATCAGCCTAAAACAAGAAACCGTCTTTGTCCCACACTTTGTCCTGTTCTCCCATCTCATTCCTGGGGCTGACCACTACTATGCTTAGGACTCTATTTCTACATAGAAGAGTACAGGTGGCCCTCGACCCTTCCAAGCTCTTCAGGAAACCTTTGGAGCACCGAAATCCTGCAACCCTGAAACGCTACCGTAGCTACAACTTCAGTAACACTTGGATAGATTTACTCGAGACATAAAAGTATATATATATATATATAGATAGGTATATGTGCTTATATATGTATATATGTATATATGTATATATGTATATATGTGTATATGTATATGTAAGGCTGTAAGTATGTATATGTAAGGCTGTAACCATGACTGAACCCTAAAGCATCTGAGTCGGGTGGCATGTCGAAAAGTGTCGGCCTGGCAAAGAGAGAAGCTTCAACGCTGGAACACATCGTAATCCCTGACAGTTCCAGCACCAAACAATCTTCACCCACGTTCCAACTCTGCAGGCATTGAAGTAGAGGTGTTAAGGCTCTGGAGTTGAGGTGTTATGGCGGTGTCGTCTTCGCTTCGTAAGTTCGCACCTGTTCCAGGGTGGAGCCTCTTGTCTTTATCCCCATGAAATTTCACAGCCCCCTAAGCCCTAACATTACGTAAAAAGTCTACTCAACCTATAAAAAAAAGGCCCTAACATTTTAAAACCACTCAAAAACCCAAAGCCTGAGGCGCGTATCAGACGGAGGGCCCGCAATGCACGGACTTGGAGACGGTGGAGGGGCTTGCTCGGGCCTAAGAGCCTCTAAAAGCTGCGAGAAACCCGGGTACTTAAAGGATCATGGGACTTAGTAACTAGGGTTATAATTAGGGTAACTATACCTATAACTACTTATAAGCCCAATTAAGGTACTTATAGCCTTACTTACTAAGTCCAATGATCCTGCAAGTAGTCTGAGGGATCCTGAAAAGGTTCGGTGAAAAGTTCCTTCATTTGGGTTCCACGAAGGTATACCAGAAGGGTTTCATAAGGGCTGTGGGGTTCAGGGTTTCGGAACACGGACCCGACTATTTAGGCTGGGTCTTCCGGTGCGGTGGTGTTTTGAGGTTTGGGATCCAGTTAATGGATCGCAGAACTCGACATGTAGATTAGATGCCAATACGCTCCGATTACCCTGGCCTGCCTACTACAGGGGCCTTAATGATTACCTTTATATACTATTTCGGTGGTTCCTTTATTATAAATGTAGTATAATGAGCCCCAAAACCCTATTCAAACTATTGGGGCCCCCATTATATTATGTTAGGGGCTTGAGAGGTACCCAACTCTTTTTGTCTGCGGTTTAGGGTTTAGGCTTGCTTCTTCACCAAAGAATAGACGAAGCCCCTGAACCCTGAAGCCCAAAGGATCAAGGTCAGGATGAAACCCACCGGAACCTGGGCATGCTAACGCGACTCCAGGGCTCGATATTGTTAGGGACTCAAAAAGCACATAAGAATAAGCATTTTATGGGGATATCCCTCCCTTTTCTGGGCCCTATATTGGTTTCATACATCGGAGTTTCCGAAATTTAGGGGTGCCCTAAAATATT